ATGGAGGGCAAAGCGACTCCAAGCTGCTTTGCCCGCCGCCTCCCCCCCTTGTCCTGCCTTCGGGAGACGGCATGGCCACCTCCCGAGGGCAGGAGAAGAGCAGGCTGGGCCCAGGGAGACGGAGGGCAAAGCGGCCCCAAGCTGCTTTGCCCGCCGCCTCCCCCCCCTTCGCCCACCGCCTCTCACCCTTCTCCATACCCCTCGGGCCGGAGAAATGCCCTCGGGGGGTCGGATCCAGCCTGCGGGCCATAGTTTGAGGACCCCTGTTGTAGACTGTTAAGCAGAGAGATAAAATAGCAAATTTACAAATGAATACATGAACTCCTCCTTCAAAGAAATCTGTAGAAAAGCTGCTTCATCCTTCTGAATTCTTGGGTTGGTTCTAGAGCAGACCTTAATTCCCAGTTTTCAAGGACTCTTCATGCATACAATGAGTGTGGGTGGAACACAACAGTGTGATAGTAACTTTGCATGCAGTTGTACCATATGTGCAGAAATCCTCATCACATACAGTTGTATAAGTGAAGGACTTGACATATCTTATGATATATGTTTATTCATTATGGTGGAACCCAATGTAGGAATTGTCCAGCTCTCTGCATATTCATTGGGCCTCATCATATTAGCCAGGGAAAGCGTCTCGCTTCACCTGGCTTTGCCATTGAAATGAAGAGCAGCTGGGGCAAATCTGAAACCCTGTGTGCTCTCCTAACTGTGCTGAGCTTTCCAAACTGTGTGTCAGGACATACTAATGTGTCACATGAAAAATGTCCTCCCCTTCACCCCATCCTCCTGCCCCCACAAACAAAGACTACCAGGCAGGAAGACATGGTCAGAGGCCTCCTGACAGATAGCCATCCAGACTCAGTTCAAAAATCTCTAGAAAAGGAGACTCCACTCGACTCCCAGGCAATGTTTCCTTTATAAAAGTTGGAAGAAATTCCCAAAGGGCATCTTGTCCAATCCCCATTTGCTAGATAGGAAGGCACAGTCAAAGCCGTCCTAATAGATGGCCATTCAGGCATTTAAAAACATCCAAAGGGATTTAATCACTACAAAAGTAGAGTACTGGTGCTGTTCAAGTGTAGGTACTGCCATAACTCTTATATTTTGCACAGTTTGTTGATTAAGTTGTAATAATTACCATTACAATGGATACATTTCTAATTAAAATAAGAAAATCTGTTGACAGTGATGTTTGTGATGAACCCATGGAGCAGCTGTAGAGGAAACAACACGAGAATCAACTTTAGGGCATAAGAAATGTGAAGGAAAAATATCCAAACTTTGTTTATACAGTAAAGAATGTATGACACTTATATATTGTATATTGTATAGTATGTATTTTATATATTATATTTTAATATATATTTTATAATACATATATAATATGAAACTCTTATAAGGGTTTGGTTTAACCTCTGGCTTGCTAGTAAAACTGAATATGTTGTGAAAGGATGCATGTTTCAAAAATGTGTCACCAACATGGAAAGTTTGGAACGCTCTGATCTACAGAAAGACTGTTTAAAATAGAATTTGGGTTCTTCTCAATCGTAACAGGAATTGTCATTTTCTGTTCTTCTTACAACACAGTGAGCCTGTAGATACAATTCAGAAAATCATACCCATTGCTTTATGAAAATACCAAACATGCCAGAAAATGTTCTGTAAGAGGAAGTGTAAATTGTACAAATACTTTTTTGTACAAGAATTTTTGAGTCCTTGGAAGGACGATCCTATGGCAGCAAGGATCGTCCTTCATTTCTCAACTATAGTATGATACTGTGATGAAGAAAGATCGTCACACAGTGTAGTGTATGTCACAAGCTAGTTCCTGTGTTCTTTCCTTTTTTCTTTTTTCTTTTTGCAATATGCCACCGGAAAAAGTATGTTTCTTAACATAATTATGCCATAGGCCAGACATAGCCTTCACACTGCCATCAGCAAATAAATTACAAAAGACAAAATCTGCACAAAATGATTTGCCCCTGACCTCCAGACTCCATTTTTTGTTCTTGCCCTCATGACTTCATATTAGATAGTGAGCCCACATTTAAGGCAAGAAGTAGGAATACTTGAGCAAAGAGGTATTTCATTTTTGTCATCATTAGCAAGTTCCAGAGTGAATATATTTTTGTTAACATGAAATATAATATGGGTAACATATTAGCAATAGATATCTTTGCTAATATGTTACCCAGTTCCATAGTTATCCATTTGAGGCTAATAGCTAGGAGACAAAATGCTGGAACAACTGGCTAAAGGGCATGTTCCACTTTGCCTGCAAGAGCTCTGGCATATCAGAAGCAGAACAGTGGAAATATGCATATTTCTACAAACAAAATTCAATCACACAATTTATTTACTTCTTACTTTCCTTTAAAGTCCAGGGTTCTTGAACAAATTCTTTGAGTCTATGTGCTCGCACAAATGAAGGTCTTCACAAGAAAATTTCAGATATTATTCTATTCCCACACTCTCACATGATAACATTTCAAAAACTTAAAAAGTAGGTTGGAGTCTGGAGAGAAGTAAAGAAAGACGATATCAGTGAGAAAGAATTTGCATTATTTTTGTTTAGTAGCTCAGCCCTTTCTCTTTGTATCAAAACAGTGTATATGGTCATGTTGCCTGGGCAGTCTCATACTGTCCATTGTGTCACAAAGGAGACTTGGGACAAATCACGAGAGTGGAAGGTACATAAGAATGCAGGTCTTCCTCCACCTCCTTTCCTGTGGAAGCTCCTCCAGTTCCCACCCTTTTTCTTTTTCCTCGCTGCAGCTCATACAAACATGAAAGCCTGGATCCTTCGAAGAGCAAAGGGTGCATCATAATCTTGCCTCCTCATTTCCCGCAGATCTACTAAATGCTTACTTGTTGTCTCCATTATCTCTCCTTGTTGATTCTCCCTTCTGACTCATAATGCTCTCTCTCACTCTTTATTCTTGAGCTCCCATTCTTGCACAGAAACAATATAGCATGAATTATAGCACCAGCACATTTGCACACCTTTCAACAGTGAAGCCACTGCCATCACAATTTTTCACCTGCTTTTTAAAATGCCTCCGTTTTTTTCTTCTCCTACTTTCCCTCTTTGTCATCAGCTTATTTCCATTTCTCTAAACTGAGTTCTAGGTGCAAAAGGTCTTTTGCTTTTATTAACTTAACAGGGAGAGGGGAAGCAGCAGAAACATGAACTTCCCAGTAGGGTTAGACAGATTTCTGTTTTTTTTTTTTTAAATCTTCATCCTCATTAATACTTTTGTCATCTCAACCTCACACTGACGTTGTTTAATTATGCATATCCTGGGTTTTGCCTGTGACCTTTCGGGGTGTGTGTGTGCATTTTACACTCCTCCACTACCACTTGTAGAGGCCAACATTAAAATAACTGTAAAACAGATTTTTAATAAGTAAAAGAAAACCTATTATGTCTATACTGTTTTCTTATCCTCAAAATCTGTGCAACAGGTGCAAAAGACATCATTCACATTGCTGTAAAATGGATTCAACCATAAGCAGTAAATTATAATGAAATTTTGAAAGCTGTACATTTGCTTTTATTTAATATATTTATGAGCTTCACAATTATATTATTATGTGTATTCAATACATTTATAGAATTCCTTATGGGAAAGATTAAACACAGTACCTATTACTTTAAACATTTGTGTGTACAATAGAGAAAAAAGAGAAAAACTATATATCCTAGACTTTTCTTTCCTACGATTTAAAGAACAGAAGTCCTGTGACTTTCAGGCCACTTTCAATACGCCTCATATTGCTGTGTATTATTAAGAAGAAAGCTAAGATACACTATACTGATGCCATACATTAGTTCTCCTATTGGATTGCTTTGTGCTTACTTAGAGACCATCTCTCTCTGTGTTGGCAAAACAGCAGGCACAGCACTTGTGCCATTTTTTCACTTCCCCTTTTTCTCTCATGTGTACAGAGTAAAACATCAGCTTTTATTATTAGCTGCCACCTCTTAACTTGGATACTGGGGGCGCATCCAGACAGTGCCTAAAATTCACGCCCTCCCACGTTTTCACCTGGGACGTCCAAATGACAGCTCAGGTAAAAATGAATTCCTTCAGGACAAAGCATGAAAAAACTCTGCTTTGTCCCAAAATAATTTGACAGCTGGAAAGACTCAGGTCTTTCAAAAGACTCGAGTCTTTCCAGCTGTGGGAACTGTGTGGATTGAAATCGGGGATCACATCACACTCCCTGCAACCTCCTTCCTTCCTCCATCATACGGTGGGGATGGGACAGGATGCATTGTCACCCTATCCTCAACAGATAGGCAAAAGGCGGCAACATGCAGCAACACGTGTTACCCCATTGCCATTTCCCCCATCATATGGGAAACGGGGGAGGAAAGTGCAGGTAGCTCCATCGGAGCTACCCAAAACACACTTTCTTCCCCATGGTGGTGGAGGAAGTGCCTTCTGGTGCTTCCCTTCAACTTTGGGAGAAATGTGGGTGGGGTCTGCAGTGTGTCGTGTTATGGCGAATAAAGTGGCAAAACGGGGCTATTTTGTCCCATGCGAAGAGGTCCTTAGTCTCTTGATGCTACCGAATCTGTTACTTTCATCCTGTAGGTTCCTTATGTGGAGCGATATTGTTTAGTGCCACCTCATGGCCAACATCAATAATTACAGGATGCTCCAGTGGCTATTCCATTTCTCTTTAGGTGTATTGATTTTTCATATGTGATCTGTCTAGTTTTAACCGGTGGGACAACTCTGGCAAATTTTCATTAAGTGTCAAATGTACTCACTTTCCATTTATAACACAAAACATCTGTTTGAGTTGTGATCATGAATACGAGTATTTATACATTTCTATTTTATGCTGTCTTTCACCTTTAGGTATTTTTAACTAGAAGTTTGCCTAAGAGATTGTAGTTGAAGAACAAATTTGGTCATCATATAGCTTATAATAAAGAATGGTTACACACCGATATGTTATGTTTCATTCTTGTCTCCTTTTAGAACTCAGTCACAACGATCTTCATCTCCTCTTCCACAGAAGGATGCCCCAAGATATCCCACTTGCCCTGGCATCAAAACAGTTTTTTGACCCATCGTCTCTCCTGAACAATGAAAGAAATGTAACAAATGCCACAAAGGAGATGCTTCAGAGTTCTGTGTTTAGTATCGTCTTGCCTGCACTTTTCTCCATTATCTTTATCATCAGCATTCCTCTCAATTCCATCTCCTTGTGGTTCCTCTGCAAGCATTCAAGGCCTTGTACTCCCACCATAGTTTTCTGCATTAATCTCACCATTGTTGTACAGCATGATGCTCCCCTTTCAAATAGTTTACCATTCCAAGGGTAACGATTGGCCCTTTGGGGATGTTCTGTGCCGATTTGTCACTGTTTTGACCTATGGAAACATGCACTGCTCTGTTTTAACCATGATGAGCATCAGCATAGAGCGCTATCTGGGGATTGTTCATCCTTTGCACTACCAAGTCATGAGATCCATTAGAACTTCTGTCCTGGCTTGCATCATCATTTGGGTACTTGTCTTACTTCCACTCATCCCGCTCATGCAAAATACTCTGACTTTTCGCTTACGAGGTCTGTCAATGGTCACCTGCTTTGACGTTTTGCCAAAAGAAATGTTTCCTGCACTACCGGACTATATTATTTACTTTGGTTCCATGTTGCTGTTGTTCTTTTTCCTGCCTCTGCTCATCATGGGATTTTGCTACATCTCCATAATTTTAACACTTCTTCACTCCTCTTCCACACAACTTAAAGAAAGTAAGAGGCAGACAGTCTACCTGGTAATTGTGCTGCTGTTGGTGGTCACTATTTGTTACCTGCCCCACATTATCATAGCTGTCATTCATTATGTCCTCCTTGCTGATGATAAAACATTTTATGTAGCATATAAATTATCCCTTGCAACTGCCGGCTTTAACTGCTGTTTTGATCCATTAGTTTACTACTATGGCTCCAAAGAATTCCGTCGAAAGATACAGAAGAAGCTCTGCAGATGTGCTGTTGTTGGTTTTAGTGAAAATACCCCTATTTTTTCGGAGTATGATATGCAAGTAACTCCCATTCAAAAGACACCGAGGATATAAGCCACATTACTCTGGGAATTCATCAGCTTGTCATAAATGACATTATTAGGAGCCATTTGCTTTTCAACTTCCACTGAAAAGTTTTCCAAATGAACAGTGAACATCATCCATAATGTGATATGTATAAGGGAAACTGAAGTTAAACTGTTCAGTAGTTCCTATCCTTTTGGGAGTACTGGAGTATTTTTAGAATCTGATGAAAGCTATGGTCCCCTACCCTAAAAATGTACATACAAACACACACACACAAAAGCCTGAATACCATCTAGTCCTGTCTGAAAAATGAATTTTTGAAAACGTCAAACATTTTCCTTAAAATACACAATGTTGGTGGAAGGCTGATGCAAGGACTTATTTGGACTCGTGGGCTTCAGGTATAGCTGTTTCTCTAGACTGTGAATTACTGAAAAGTATTATGAGGTGGGAAAGGGGGAAGTAGAACAATCGTATTTGATTAACCAAGAAATATTTTAATATGTTAATGCATAGAAAGAAGATTTAAGCATTACTGTACAAAACTAAGGTGATCAATACTTTTAATTATATGGCTGATATCATTCTTAAGATGTAAACTCATATATTTATAATAAAGCAATGTGTATAGTATCCTTGTTCTGATCTTAAGTAACATTGGTTTAGTATTATTTTTATTTCCCATATAATGTTCTAAGGATAACAGTGAGAAATTAGAACCAGCATGTATGCCAAATTGAATGAACAATTAGATATTTCTATCTTGTGAAAAAGCTGTGCTGACAACACTGATGAGCAAATTTTAAATTAAAAAGGAGAAACCCAGTGAGAAAAAAGGGGAAGTATTACAAATAAGAAATTACACCATTTAGAAATGTGAACCTTCACATACAGTTTCAGGAAAACTAAATTGTGGAACTCCATGCTACAAAAGAATTTGGGAATTTGGGGAATTACATATCAGTATAAAACGGTTTTGTCATTGATGGCTGATGGTGTCAAATGCACTTCCACTTGGTAGCATTATTGTTTTCCGTTTTTTTCAGAATGGCCTTCCAAGATAAAAAGCTTTAAACTTTTGGTAGGGAAACCAAGTAAAATTGATATGGTGAAAGAAATTGATTGTTCATTATAGTGTATTTGCTGTTATTGGCATATGTTTTATTTTTATAATTTAGAGTAATATGTTAGCACATATGCACACACACACACAATACAGAGAGTCTCATCACAAAACACTGTAAGCTAAAAAAAATGCTTCCAGAGACCGATATGTTTTTAGTTAAAATAAATAAATAAATAAATAATGCTGACTTTAGTTGTGTTTTTCTTCTGGTAGTGACTTGCAAACACATTGTTCCTTTCTCTAATTTTGTTCAATTACAATTGGAGAATCTTTGATCTTTTAGATCAGGGGTCCACAAACTTTTTAAACAGAGGGCCAGGTCCCAGTCCCTCAAACTGTTGGAGGGCCGGATTATAATTTGAAAAAAACATGACTGAATTCCTATGCACACTGCACATATCTTATTTGTAGTGCAAAAAACACTTAAAAACAATAAAATAATTAAAATAAAGAACAATTTTAGCAAATATACATTTATTAGTATTTCAGTGGGAAGCGTGGGCCTGCTTTTGGCTGATGAGATAGGACTGTTGTTGTTATGTGCTTTCAAGTCGCTTAAGACTTAGGTTGACCCTGAGTGAGGGCCAGGTAAATGACCTTGGAGGGCCGCATCCGGCCCCTGGGCCTTAGTTTGAGGACCCCTGTTTTAGTTCTTTTAAATGACTGCTCCCATAATCTTTTATCATTGGCAAGAGTTTCTGGGAGTTTAAGTCCAAAACAACTAGAGGGATAAATTTGCCTCATTCCTGCCTTAGATGTTTTAACCATGATATGGGAAAGGTCTTTCCCACCAATGCACTTTGTCCTGTGGTTTCCTTACCACTGGAGACAGTACATCTACACTATAGAATAAATGCATTTTGACTCCATTTAACTACCATGCCAAAACGTGTTGATGCTTCACCAAACTGCAAACCCCTGAATCTCATTGCATTTAGCCTTGGCAGTTAAAGTGACGTCAAACTGAGGGCATCCTGTGAGCCACCCCATGGCCCTCTGAGGGGATGGTGGCAAGATACAAATAAAGTTGTTGTTGTTAACTATTAATTCTACAATGTAGGGGTACCCCAAGGATGCATGCAACTTAAGGAGAATTTACACTGACCCACTAACCCGGGGCTGATCCAGTGTGATGTGCAATGGGGTTACACGGGCATCCAGCCCAGTTGAATGGGCAAGGGAGACATCTTCTCTAATGTCAATGCAGGCATCAACCAACCAATAGGATCCATGTCTCGGCTAGAGACTGCTATGATATGGAGAATGGGAGGAGACAGTAAGTGCCATGCTGTGTTCCTCGGCTACCAGAGCCTGGGAAATAAGAGATAACAGTGAAAGCAGTTGCAGCCAGTTCTCTCTTGGAGCAGATCCAGACAGGCCTTTATCCCAGGAGAATCCGTGTTTTAAATCGCCAATTTTCCTGGGGGCCTGTACACACTCACCCCAGAAAGCGGATGCTTTCTGGGGTGGGTGTCCAAACGTTTTCTTGGGACTAGCCCAAGACAATATCTGGAGGCTCTGCGCCCCTCCCCCCAAGCCCCCAGACCCCTTAGAAAAGTAATTAAAAATTGCCTGGTCTCCATTACAGATTTTGGCCAGCTCTTCCGGCACTTAAAAATGATGCACCAGGAGAGAAGGGGGAAAGCAATTTTGCATGTTATTTCTATGTGCTGGGAGAACAGGCCAAAGTCTGTAATGGAGGCCTGGTAAGTTTCATTACTTTTCAAGGGGCTTGGGGGCTTGGGGGGAGAAGTGGGTATTCCCACAGTTTACTGAGCTTATTTAGCCCAGTAAAATGTGGGAATACTGTCTGGACCACCTTATTTATTTTAATTATTTATTTGGCAGTTTTGGCAGTCTTCTCACCTCCATTCGAGGGACTCGGGCCAGTTTCCAACATCAATATTACAGACAGTCATTAACACATCATATTTCTAAATCACACTAAAACATTAAAACATTGAAACCATTAAAATAGCAAAAATACAATCATATGCTTACAGTGGTCAGTTGTCATTAAAGTCCTTATTCATCATCATCCATCCATATCACAGGGTCATGGCTCATTCGTTGAATGCCAATCCCCAAAGCCAGGTTTCCACCTGTTTCCTGAACGTTAAGATCGAAGGGGCAGTTCTGATCTCCAGTGGAAGGGAGTTCCAGAGTCGAGGGGCCACCACCGAGAAGGCCCTGTCTCTCGTCCCCACCAGCCAAGCCTGTGAGGCTGGTGGGATCGAGAGCAGCCCCCCCCCCCAGACGATCTTAGTAATCTTGATGGCTCATAAGGGAGAATACGTTCGGACAGGTAAATTGGGCCGGAGTCGTTTAGGGCTTTATAGGTTAAGACCAGCACTTTGAATTGTGCTCGGAAGCTGACTGGCAGCCAGTGGAACTGGCGCAACAGAGGAGTAGTATGCTCCCTGTACCCCGCTCCCGTTAGTAACCTGGCTGCTGCACGTTGGACTAATTGAAGCTTCCTGGCAGTCTTCAGAGGCAACCCCATGTAGAGAGCGTTGCAGTAATCTAAACGGGATGTAACCAAAGCGTGGACCACTGTGGCCAAGTCAGACTTCCCAAGGTACGGGCGCAGCTGGCGCACGAGTTTTAATTGTGCAAAAGCTCCCCTGACCACTGCCGAAACCTTGATTAGCAATGAACAAAATCTGACTACCAGTATTAAAAAACTCTAAAATTAAAACAGCAAAACAGCAGAGGGAAAACAATCAGGGACATCTAATCACCTCTCAACAAAAGATTGCTCCAGGCAATGCTAATCAAGGTGGTCAGTTGAAACATTCACACCTAGCTCCAGCAGACAAGAGTTCTTTGCCCCAGCCTGGTATTTCCACAGATATATAAACCCATTTTCCTAGTTCCAACAGACCTCACTACCTCTGAGGATGCTTGCCATAGATGCAGGCGAAACATCAGGAGAGAATGCCTCTAGAACATGGCCATATAGCCTGGAAAAACCTACAACAACCCATGATAAGGCTTTGCCCTTGTCTTCAATAAGCTTGTAATAAGAGGCTACAAATGCTTCACCACAAGTGTGGCTCCACTTCTTAGTTTTGGTTTTGGTATTTGGTTGTGTGGTTTGTGTTGTTCAATAGAGCAGTGTGTTACTTTCTAGCTGCCTGTGTTACTTTCTAGCTGCCTTTACAATGAATAACATAACCACAGAGTTGAAAGAGGCCCCAAAGGCCATTGAATCCAAGTGCCTGCTCAATGTGGGGACTCCAACTGGAGCATGCCCAGCAGTCAGCTGCCCAACCTTATTTTGAAGATATCCACTGAAGGAGAAGCCATCACCTTCCTGAATAATTGGTTCCATTATCAGACAGCTCTTGCCATCCATAAATTTCTTTTAATGTTCAAGTGAAATCTATCCTCCTTGAGCTTAAAGCCATTAGAGGTGGTCCTATCAACTGTGTCAGTAGATAACAAACCTGCCCCCTCCTTTCTGTGACAGTCCCTTAGATATTGCAGTGTCCTAAATGAAAAGTACCAAAAACTGGGTTCTTATAGGTTTTTTTGGGCTATATGGACATGTTCTAGAGGCATTCTCTCCTGATGTTTCGCCTGCATCTATGGCAAGCATCCGCAGAGGTATAGATGCCATAGATGCAGGTGAAACGTCAAGAGAGAATGCCTCTAGAACACTGACATATAGCCCGAAAAAACAACAACCCAGTGATTCTGGCCATGAAAGCCTTAGACAATACATAGTAGCAAACACCTCAGTTTTCCCTACTTGATAATTGCTCTAGGTACCCAATCATTACAGTAGAAAGAAGAGGCAGCATTTTATAGATTATCACATTTCTGTTTTTTCTTCACCATGTCACACTTCAGTTCTCTCTTCACCAGCTGAACATATCCATCTCCTTCAGCCTTTCCTCATATATTTTGTTCTCCATACCTCTTATCATCTTGGTTGCTCTTGTGTTATCCTGCTCCAACATGTCTATATCCTTAAAAGCAAGTGTCCAGAACTGAATGCAATCCCCCATATGATACCCGCGCGTCTGAAGCTCAGAAG